ATGTATTTATGTACATTTGTGCCTACATACATATAGGGGTGGTTAAAAGTGATGATTGCGGCTTCCAGTGTTTACTACGTCCAAACATTCACAAGCATTAACCCTCTAGTAGGCAGAACCGCCTCCAGACGGTCGTTAACTAAACGCCTTTTTAGTGCACCTATAATAATTTTTTTCTCTATTCGTAAGCCACGATCTTTAGACAAAAATCGTACCCTTACGGCGAAGTAAATTTTAATCCGTTATGTCAATCCGTTTTATTTTAATCGGCAGTTGAATTACAGATTTCGAAAACACGGTTAAAATTAATTATTTCTTGCTATTTAGTAATTTCGTAATTAAAGAACTTTGTTCTTTTGAAAAATTTTTTTGATAAAAAAAATTCGGTGGATTTCGTTGTTAAAAGCACCGTATTTTAATATAAGTTTTATAATTATGTCACCATTCGAAATGGAGAAAATTGCTTTCGAACACAGACCGTCTACAAAGCGGCTTGCCGACATATAAAACCCCAGCTTTGCATTTTTGACCATCTGCAGACGGCATTGCCGGTTCGTAGGTCAACATTGTGTAAGAGAAATCTGAAAATATGTGTAAGTATATCGCCGAGCCCGTCTCCAGACGGTCTTGGTTTTTCTCCCCTGTAGGAAAAAGTTACTGTCACAGATCGAAATGGACATCAGTTTTGGATTTCTCGTGCTAAAATCACCCATTCCTGAATTTTTCAACTCATAAAAAAATTGGCCTACTAGAGGGTTAACCTGCATACCCATTTGGTATTGAAATTAAAACAAAAAAAGAATTTTTTAGGCAATTTCCTAACCTACGAACCATTCGTTTTTCTAGAAGTGTGTGTTAACGGGAAACCCTTTATTGTGAACTTTGACGTAGTGTGACATTTCGAAGGTGCTTTGGTAAAACTTCATATCTCATAGAATTAATTTAAAGTAGGCCTCAAAATACTGCGATTCACTATATATTATTAATGGAGATTTTTTTTTGATAGAGAGTATTGTTTGAGAGTGTTTTGAGATACGAGCTTTTGCCAAAGAACGATTTCCAACTTTTTATGTTTTGTAAACCCTGTGGAATCACAAAAGGAAGGCTCATGCAGAAATCCAACTTTCTCTCATTTTTATTTTTCGAAGTAAAATTCCGGGTTTACCCGTACTATATACATAATAATATTTATCATTTTTAAAGCAGTTCTTCTATTAAGTTTATATGCCGTTTCTGCGTGGTCAAAACATTATCACATTTTTCACATTTGCATATTAGTCAATAGTAAAAGCTCCCCGCATGAATTATATTTTATTACAATTTTTTGGTGGTTTTCGAACATTTCCGCTTAGATCTCTATAACTGTATATTCGTACATACTTATGTATTATATTTATGTGTATATTCGGGGTACATATTCGTACTTTTATTTGGGTTGGGCTTGATGAGCTTTTAGCCGCGGTAACAAAGTTAGATTTGGTGTAATTAAAAATAGTTGTATGCTTTCTTTATTTCCAAATGCAAAACACTCCGAAATTAAGAATGATTTATAGAGGAAATTAAAAAGTATACGTTTATATAAAATAATTTACGTATATACATATAAGTACATTCGTATGTACAAGAATGAGGGCGTGTAAATAGCGAATACTAATATACCTTGCATGATAGATACAAAATATGAGCTGCAGAAAAAACCCTCATTTATGCTAAAACTCCGATTCTCAACTACTAAATCTATTTGATTTGTTATTTAATGCACCAACCAAATTAATCCATTAATTACCAAAGGGAATAAGTCAGCATTTTTTTTTCAATATTACAATTTTGATACAGTTCGGTTTATTTAAAGGAGCTATGTTGAACTGCATCAAATTTGCCATATCGGAAAAATGCTTGAATTTCCACAAAAAAAGTGCTTTTAGTTTGAAAATCAAAAAATCAAATTGATTTTTTCGGAAAACTAATACCCCATTTCCACCAAACGCTTAACCGCAGTCAAGAGCTCAGATAATTTTCCATAATTTTTTTACTAGAGATGATCGGCAAGGTTTGTTTTTTGATTTTTAATTTTTTCCTTTCGTTAGCTTGTACTTAATATGAGAAACTACTTCCTTGGAGTTGTAATCTGTTGAATATTTACAATTGACATAAGCTGCAGTTAAGGCTTTGTGGAAATTTTTTATTTGGTTGACAAAAAATTAAATAAATAAATTTTATTCAGGATTTGATTTGGCGAAGAAATAATACATTTTTAACCGTCTTCACTTTAATGTATGTTACCGCATAACTTTGGACCACGTTAACCGATTTCTATTCTATTTTTAAAGGAAGGGTTTTACCTCACAGGTAGTCCCATACTAATTTGGTTTAACGATAATCTTAAATCTTTATATGAGAATTGAAGTCGGTTTTTGTTTTTTGCTTAAAAATTACTAGTTATTAAATATTTAGAATTTAATACAATTTTCAATTCAGAAAACAATTTTATTTTTGGATTTGGGTTTTGACTAATTACAAATCACGCTAGGGTTTGGCGTACAGTTTGCTCTAATAGCTAGTGATGTCGGAAACTGGGCTCGAACCCAGGCTTTTCGGAAGAGTAGCACGCACTGCTAACCACTAAATCACAACGAGCGTTTCTAAAATATATATTAATTTCCATTACCATTAATCCTGAACTTACACCCCTCTCGTTGCAATTATACACACCTTCTAAAGTACGGAAAAGCGCCACACAAATGAGTGTTGAGAGTAAGGGAAGTGCTAGGAAAAGTATGCATAACTGACTTAGTATTAAGGAAAACATAACTTAGTTTGTTCTTAATTAACTTAGCATAAAAAGTTACAACAATTAATGCGACACGAAATTAGTTTTAAATTCCGTTTGGTTAGCGTTTACGGTATGATGAACCGAAATAGAGCGAGCGAAGCTCCAAAATGCAAGCGAGGTAGGAAATCGACAACTATATCGGTTCACGTGGTCCAAAGTTATGCGGTAACATACATAAAAAAAAAATAAAAATAATAAAACTGAATAAATAAATAAGATATATATATTCCGACGAACTAATAACCTCCTCCTTTTTGGAAGTCGGTTAAAAAATAAGTAAAAAAATATGTGCAAAAATATAGGCAAAATTCAGTCAGGTCAAAAATATGAATACTTTGACGTTTTGACGATTTTATTTATTTTTGCCTTACATACCAAATTGTTCTTACATTTTTTTTAATATAATTCACTCAACAGCAAAAATCTCAAGAACCATTTTTTTAATTTCATAAAGAACTCGGGAAAATGCACGAAATACAAAAAAATTTCCATCAAAATTTTGATTATTCAATTTTGTAGCGCACAAATTTTTAATATAATAAAATTCAAGTTTCAAGTCGCTAAGAATTGCTGTGGATTTTTGGGAATTTCTTTTGTCTTTTGTCATTTTCTTTTATTTAACGCGTGAAAAAGATCTATTTTTATATGGAAGAAAATGCGCAACACCCGAGACAAAAAAAAAATCTCTAAAATCAACGGTAATTTTTAGCGACTCTAAGCTTGCCTTTATTATTGAGCTACACAACTAAATTAAAAAATTTAAAATTTTGATGAAACTGTTTTCTTATTTCTTGCATTTTTCCCGAGTCTTGAATGAAATTAAAAAAAAATGATTCTTGTGGATCTTGCTGTTGAATAAAATATTTTTATAAAAAATATTAAATTTAATTTTTTGGATAACATAAACAAATAAAATCGTTAAAACACCAGGGCGTTCATATTTTTGACGTTGACTATACGCTTTGCTTTTACTTTGCTGATACATATTTTTAGTTCTTAAAATAAACGATAACTATGTAGTTACATATGTATGTACACATTTCTTGGTTTCGCCCTTCATAAAATCTGTTTATAAAGTAGACGATTGGTTAATGTAATACATAGTACCTACAGGACGGGGGGATGACAAGTTCGTGACAGGAAAGGTGTAAAGATGTGGGAAACAGCTTAAAGCTGACAGCCCGGAATCACTTACATTTCCCTGCCTGGCACCAAATGCACACCATTACAAAAATGAGTTATATATGTACGTAAGTGTGCACATGGTTTCTCGTGCCAATGTGTGCTTCAACTTATAGTGAAATTGAATATTTTCCGCGAGTGGAAATTAACAGATCGAAATGCGAGTGCTGGGCGTATACGCAATTTTTATGAAAAAAAAAAATTCATTTCAAGTACATAAGCTCGGATCCAGTATTCCATGAACCTACAGGTTTTTATACGAACTTGCAGCAAGTTACAGCCAAAAAGATACCGTACTCCGAATTCCTCCAAAATCCTTTAAATGAGAGCGAATTTCGGAGAGTTTTGTAGAGAATGAAGTTGCAAGATTTTACCCGAACTTTTTCTTCTGGTAAAATCATGAAAAGTGTCAAGCGATCACTGGTTGGCTTTTTTACAGGAAAAATGCTTCTTTTGTTCCCGTACTTTTTGTTCTTACTCAGTTTTCACCCTCACTTCAGAGAGGAAGTTTAATGTTTGACATTTTTACAGGATTTTACACAAAACAGGATTGGATCAGAGCTATAGAAAGATGGTGGCATTGGAAAAATTGTAACATGGCATGCATTTTCAGGATAATTTTCGATCTTCTTATGGTTTGTTTTTTTTTGTTATTGGTATATTTTATTTGACGAATACTATTTTGTAAAAAAAAAAATAAAAAAAAGTAAAATACATTTTGTTAGGAGTTTCCAGAGGTTACAGGTTTTCAGGCCTAGAGCTTATCTCTTACTAGTAGTAAGTTACTACATATATGATATTTTGAATATGAAAGTGCTAAAGGTAGCCATCTTACCTACCACTCACATGCGGGTTCAAATCGAGTACATATGCAGCGGTAGTAATAACAATGTAGGTACCTTTGTGGCCTGCAGCTACCTACGTAAATGCATTGCAGAGGGTGTACTAACTAACAACAGCAATATGTGTACGTGCAGTAACTCACCTGGATCGTCATCATCATCCCAATCGATTTGACCGGCGCTGATGCTGAACGTTGTTGTGAACACCAACAGCGTAATAAGGCCAACAATACAGTTGCGCCAACTGTTGAAACTAGTGACGGACAGCAGGTGACGCGCCGTTTGCACAATGCTTGCATTGCTATCTGTGTCGCTGTCGTCGATGCTGTGGGCGATTTTTCGGTTAATGCGGGTTTTTGTTGCTGTTGGTGTTGATGTTGATGTTGATGTTGTTTTGGTTGGTGTCGGAAGCGTTAACGTTGCAGTTTTATTTTTCGCTGGCATTGAGCTATGCAAACTATTACGTAAAATGCCTGCTGATGTGGTTGTTGTTGTCGTAGTTGCAGTAGCACACATGTTGACTGTAGTTGTAGCAACGCAGGGGTGCGTTGTTGTTGTTGTTGTCATAGTGATTTTAGCATTGTCGTGGCGTACCGACGACACTGACACCGTTGTAACTCGTTGTATTTTTAGCATAACCATTTTTAGTAAATGCCGTGGAAATTTTGCGTTGTTTTTAAATTGTTGTTATTGTTTATTGCGAGTATAGTCTTTTTTATTTTTGGTTACTTGTTTCGTTCGGAATTTTTATATATATACATATTTTTTTGTTTTTGCTCTATATTTTCATTTAGTGTTGGTATTTTAGATATTGCATTCCGCTTCCGTTGCAGAAAACTCGTTTGTTTTACTTTACTGCTGGTTGCTACTGCATTCGGAAGTTATAATTTAATTTGCAGCATCACAACTTGTATACAACTTGCAAACGATATGTATGCTGGCGTTTAGCTCACGCTGCTTTTGCTTTTTGCTTATGTTTTTGCTATTATTGTACATGCAGTTTGTATCGCTTTTCCGTTGGCGCTTCTTCGCTTGTATTCACCCGACGGTAACTTGTTTTGCTTTTCACAGCACTTGCCACATTCTAATGAAGCAACAATGTGCGCCACTTTGTAGTCAGCAACAAATACAATAATAATACATTGTATTGTTCAGCATGCAAAATCTACCTTCAAAGTTTTCGTTGCGTTTCCTTTAATTCGAGCACATTTTCTATACATACATACATATTTTTTTCTGCTTGCAATTTTGCGGAATTCCGTTTCGAAATTGCGTCGTTGTTTGGCCTCGGAATTTCTTATTTCGTGCAATCGTCTTTCCAGTTCTGTTCCGCTTCCCATGCGTTTTTATTCAATTACGATTTTTTGCTTGTATTTTTCTCTCGCCTCTACGCCGCGACTTTGGCTGCGCTACGCTAATTAATTTGTTTTTCTAGTCCTAATTTCCGCCACTTGAAGTGTGCAACCGCGTTTGCTATGAAAAAGGTTTTTTTTGTTGGTCTTCCAAAATGCTGAAGTATTCTTGTTTGTGTGGGTTTATTCTCATCCAAGTCTCGAGATGTATTTTCAGTTATTCATTTCGCTCTCATTCACAAATGCCACTAGAGTACTTCTTAAAATCTGCAAATAAAGAAGGCAGACATTAAACATCGAAGAAAATGAAGCAAGAATAAAAAAGAAAGTAAAATAAAGACATAGCTGGAGAAATATTGTATAATTTCTTAGTATTACGCTAATGCCATGAACATAATTAAATGGCTTGCCGAAAAGGAATTGTTTGTTTCTTATTTAAGATTGCTACACGTTTTGACTAAAAATAAAATTGAAAATGAAAAAAGTATCCAAGCGGCAGCTGCTGAAACGTAAGAGCACTTGCGTTGGTTACACCGTGCGACAGTGTATTTTATGTATGGTTAAATTATAGTAAAACCGCGTACTTAGTGTTTCTCTCTGACATCAGGATTTCTTTTAACGCTTCACGATTTTGCGTATCATCCTTGCGCAGGGGCCATGCTAATCTTCTCTGTATCGTTCCAATTTTAGTATATGTTCTACCGAAGCAAGAACATCTCGCTCATCTGCGCCCATGCCCCGACGGAAGAGAAAGACGAGGCGTCCAAGGATCTCTTGTATGAGCGCTTGGAGCGTACATGCGAGCGATGGCCCTCGAACGATATCAAAATCTTGCATGGCGATTTTAATGCCAAGGTAGGCAACAAAGGAAACTTTGGTGCCACTGTAGCAAAATTATGCCTCCACGACGAAACGTCCGAGCACGAACTGAGACTTATCGACTTCGCCGGAGTCCAAAACATAGTACTAGGTTCCAGCAAAAGAAGGTCCACCAAGCTACATGGCTGTCACCTGATCAAAAAACGAGAAACAAATTTATTCGCCACTCAACTCTCACACCTGCTCTCTGAGAGCACTCTTCAACAATCGGACATACATAATTAGCGCCGCCGAAGACCCAGTTGGATTTCTACGATCCCGAAAGAACATCTGGTACGGTGAGGAATGGCAAGAGGCCGCAAAAAAAAAAGAGGCCTCCTATAGGTTCATGCTGCGCTCGTGCGCAATGCGAGCCATGTGGGACCGTTATTGGAAACTAAAAAAGGAAACGGGACTCATTTGCCGCAATAAGAAGAGAGAGGCCGAAATACGTGAGCGCGAAGAGCCTGAGATGCTGGCCGACAGGACAAACGCTCGAAAATTCTATCAGAGAGTTATGTAGAGGCTGATGTTCAGAAAGTACTTAAATTATGGAAGGAACACTTTTCCACCCTATTGAATGACAGCAGCACTGAAAATAGTGGAGAAGACGAACCCGAGCCCCCAGTCGATGACAATGGCGTCGATGTCCCACCGCCTGACTTTGATGATATACGAATAGCGATAGCGCGCTTGAAAAACAAAAAAGCTGCTGGAGCTGACAGCCTGCCAGCTGAGCTATTCAAGCACGGCGGCGAGGAGTTGATAAGGTGCATGCATCAACTTTTGTGAAGAATATGGTCAGATTAATGTATGCCCGATGACTGGAATTTATGTGTGCTCTACCCAAACGTCAAGAAAGGCGACCCCGCCATACGGGGCAAACACCGCGGGATCAGCCTTCTAAGTATAGGTTACAAGGTTTTATCACATGTATTGTGTGAACGAACTAAATAAATAATAATAATAAGTATATTTATATGGGCAAATCTCAAGACTTGTTACATTTTTCGACAAAAACTTGTGCGGCATTAAACTGTAGGTCCTTTCATCTAGTGTGGATATATTTTAAACAGACATACAATACCCACAAAAATACTTTTCATGTTTTTTTCCTGATGATTTATAATTTCACTAAAATTCCGATAGTGGCCTTCAAAACAAAACAATACCACACAAACAATATAAAATATTTACTTATCTACATACATATGTACCTAGCTGCATACCTAAGTTTATATTTACAACCCATTTTTAAATATGAACATAAGTATTCTATTAATCATTTAATATCCCTATTAATATTAAATTGGAGAAATGAACACTAGTGCACACACATTGAGTTGAAAAGCGGAGTGGCAATCAGGCATAATTGTATATTCATTTCCACTGTTTTTTTTTAATGACAGCAAATTAAACGCAATTGGTTATTCTCATGAGAGGACATAAAATTATGCGCAACTTATTACTAGAACCAGTTATTTATATGTAAATAGTACGGAGAGTAGGCATTAACTTCAAAAAAGGTGAGCTACCAATTTATAAATTGCCAGTTTTGTGATACAAGAGACCATCAATGGTTTCTTTTTATGTTTCTTAGAACTCTTAGAACTTTTGTTCGAATATCCTGGTCTATGCTTCGTCCTTATTCCTTGAAGCAATTCAGAGTTTGCACAATTTGATAAATACATAAATACTAGTTAGCGTAAACGAACATAGCGACACGGGATTTTTATACCCGAGCGCACTTGTGCACAATGGTATTATAACTTTGTTCACATAACGGTTGTTTGTAACAGGCAAAATGACTCGAGATAGATATAGACAAATGTATACATAAATGATCAGAATGAAAAGAGAAATGGATTAAGCGGTGACTGTTTGTCCGTCCGTCCGTCCGTCCGTCCGTCTGTGCACACGATAACTCGAGTAAAAATTGAGATATCTTAACGAAACTTGTTGTTAGCCTTGGTACAGCATACAAAATCGCCGAAATTTTTTAAAATTGGACGATAACCACGCCCACATCCCATATAACGGTAATTTAGAGAAATACAAAATCTTCGATAAATCAGTAAATATTAAAGCTAATTTATTAAAAATTGATGGTTGCAACAATTCTTTACCAAGAAAAACGTTTATGATAAAATTTTGGAAAATAGGCGTGGCACCGCCCACTTGTGATCACATATACACATGGATCTCGCTAACCGTTCTAGCAATTTGTACCAAACTCGGTATGGTTATTGTGCTTGCCACATAAAAGAAAACCGTTGAAAATTGTTGAAATCGGACTAAAATTACGGCCGCTTTTCATACAATAGTAAATTTCAGAAATGCTTGAAATTTCAATATTTCGAAATTTAAGGACGCTAATTTACTTAAAACTTATACACCCCGGCTTATTAGCGGTAGCTTTCGGAAAGGTGGAAAACATATATTTAATACTTGCGCCGGGTATTTAATGTTCGGCTCCGCCCGAACTTAAATTTTCTTACTTGTTAAATTTTACTATTTCTTTTTTATTTTTATTTTTTTTTTTGCTTAAAAAAAAATATATATATACTTTTATACATTCATTTAATTTTTAGAAACCTATCTTACGATTTTTTTCTTTTTTAATTAGTTTATATTTCCCTATTTCATTTAATTTTTCGATTTAGTTTTTTAATGTCACTTATTGTTTAGAAATTTATTTATTTATCTCTTTCAATTTAATTTTATTTTTTTTTAGGTTTTATTGTTTCGAAAAGAAAACGATTTTTCCATTTAATTTTCATGAACTTACTTTTTTTTTTAATTTCATTGTTTTTTAGTTTAAATTTCTTTTATTTTTTACTATTCTTTTTTATTACTTCATTTAAGGTTTAGAAAGTATTGTTTTATTTTTTTGTAAAATGAAATAATATCGCTACCTAAAAGTGAAAAGCTTCCAAGTCCAAATTTTTTTTAAATTTATTTCTAGATGCAGATGGCAGATAATGCGAAAATACTTCTATTTATCGACTCTCTTGAATAACTTCAAAAAATTTACTTGGCACATTTTCCTCTTTTTAACATTTTACACAATAACGTAAAGGAAGTCAACACATAATGATGAGCTATGGCTCGAATATGGAGTGGAACCGAACCAGACAATCTCCTTAAATCGCAAAAAATTTTATGAATCGGTAGAACGGCGAGAAATATCCAAAGTATTCGACACCTGACCACAGTATACCACCTGACAACACACCACTGCGTACATTTATCAAACAACACACAAATCCACAAACTTGGCACGCACTCGTAAAAGTTCGGTTGAAAAATGCGTTTTAACTTCGTATGTATGTACATCTAAGTGTACTTATGCATTGATATGCATGCATGTATGTGTATGTACATACATATACATGGCTTGGCATAGCACTTCGGGTCACTCAATGTGCACTGAGGTGGATACGTGTAAAACACAAATAAAAAAACTCAAAAATTGCGACTTAACTGCAGCAATGCATCTGGACAGTGGTCAGCTGGCAGTA